TCCGGGATTTGAACCCGGGACCTCTCGCACCCAAAGCGAGAATCATACCCCTAGACCAACGAGCCGCATAAAATTAATGTCTGGAGTATGTTGACATCGTCAACACGGCTTCGATATCAACATTTATATATATAATTTCTTTCGTTTGAGGAACGAATTAGAAGAAAATTATTTTCCCTTAAGGTATCGTAGTCATCGTCAGGATATTTAGTAAAGCGTGACATGAGTGCACGATATTTTCGTGCAGTATTTCAGTTTGTGTAAGTTCATTCATTCATTCATTCTACCGACCGGTTTACATCGTTAAATTTTTTATTTCTTTTTCAAAAATAGAAAGTACATAATTATAAATAAAATATGTTTATCACACACCCATGCCGATTTTGCGACTCCGTAAATATGGTATTGCACGGCCGTGCATATATTTTGACGTGACGTCATTAGCGTTAACAAACATAGTGTAAAGACGCGCTAAATGTTAGCGTTATACTATAGGCGCGTCAATGAAAAATGACTCTTATTTCACTTTAAACTGTCTTTATTTTGAGTATGTGATAAATAGAATATTAAATTCGTGTAAGTTCATTACTGAATTTATTGCACTCGTTGAATTAAATAATATTATGCTCGCCAGAGGCTCGCATAATATAATTTTATTCAACTCGTGCAATAAATTCAGTATTGAACTTACACTCATTCAATATCCTCTATTTCATTCATAGGTAGAGTGTTAACAGATATGCATTTGTAGGTTTGTAAAATGGCGTCAAAGTGTTTTCTTTAAAGTAGTACATATACATTATTGTGTGATATAAAATATGAATTGTTGTTCCATCGGTTACCCAAGTGCTTCGGTTACAAATTACAATTTGAAATTGAAAGTAAGACTGAGTTGTGTTTTTATTCGTTGAATGTGTTGAATGTGACTTAGTAGATTGAGGGAAATATAATTTTCTAATTAGAAATGTATGTTAAAATAGCCTCCGCTAGTGGGAGCAAAATTGTGGTAGTCATTCAGCGTTGAGAGAGCCCACCACTTCGCACATTAATTCAACTAAATTTGAAAGTTCATTATTTCCAATCCATAATGGTTATTATACCAAATGTATTTAGTATATTTGAATAACCAGTGGTTATAAATTTCGAAATCGTGTACTGTATCTGTAACTGTGTTTACAGCTATTCTATTTTAAAAGCTGTGTGATTTGGGGAATGAAAATATTTTATATGATTATGGTGTACGTTAAATGAATGATAAATAAATAAATATGTATATATGATATTTATAGGAATGAATTTTATACGTTGTTTCTTAGAGAGCAATTTTGTTACAAGGAAATTTTATTTCTTTTCGAAATTTTAATTCTCATATTCAGGGTAAAGATGTTATGGTGACTTCCCAGCTTTAACAGACGATGATTTACGGATTACACTTGATGCCCCTCTGCCTTTTTTGTAGACTAAGGTCCATTAAATACGTGGATTTGGTGATACGTTTTACACTTTAATACTTAACGTTGTGATAATAATTTGGAGATACCGGTAACTTATTCCTTAAATATATATCTTTCTTCTGATATAGGCTTGTTGTAAAATTAATGGACTCTTTCGGGATTTGAACCAGCGGCCTTGTGCATAGATGGTAGGCCTACAATACATTAGGTCAAAATGAAACGTAGATTTGGCGTTTTGTTTTTAGTTTTTATTAAAAAAAGGACGGTAACGTTGATCGAACCCGTGATTTCTCTTAAAATAATGTGTTTTTATAGTAAAGAAACACTTATTTCTTAAAAAGTATTGTCATTGTCATGTTGTAAAAGTAATGGGCTCGTCCGGGAATTGAACCCGGGACCTCTCGCACCCGAAGCGAGAATCATACCCCTAGACCAACGAGCCATGACAGTTTACATTAAAGACAGTCTATTAAAACCAATTTACACAAATTGGATAATATATGAAATTATTGCATCATGATTCTTTAATGTTTTGTATGATAACTTAAAAAGTTATGTTATACTGTTATACTAAAGAAGAAACCAGACATGGTCATATGTTGCTTCAACCAGGTTAAAAAAAAAGATAGTTAACCAAAAGTTGGGCTCGTCCGGGATTTGAACCCGGGACCTCTCGCACCCTCAGCGAGAATCATACCCCTAGACCAACGAGCCATGGATTCCATATATAGTTATATGTTCTCTTTAAATGATAATTGAAAGGTCACAGTAATATTTATGTTATATTTTTCTTTCTGATTTTTCATTATTGTTTTATATTTTATTCTTTATTTATTCATTTCTTTTTTTTTTCTTTCCATAAGTAATTGACTTTTTACTATGTCGTTATCTTGTTTCCTTAATACAGTGACACCGGTTTGTATTACAGTCCTGATTTTTTCGTTTACAGTGTTTAGAGTGTCAATCACTCTTTGATCCGCTTCCAACACAAATATTTGTGATCCTCATAGGGTTCAAATCCGCGACCTAAAAGTTGAATGACAGATAACAGATCTTAAACTCTTAACCATCTCTTTCCTTCCACGTTATTACAAGAACATATTTCAACAAATCTACAAATGAGCCACGTCACGACAAAACCAACATAGTGGGTTTGCGACCAGCATGGATCCAGACCAGCCTGCGCATCCGCGCAGTCTGATCAGGATCCATGCTGTTCGCTTATCAACCCTATTACAAGTAGAAAAACTAATAGCGAACAGCATGGATCCTGATCAGACTGCGCGGATGCTGTTGATGATTATGTTGGTTTTGTCGTGACGCGGCTCAAATGTATATAGAACATCTGCTTGAATGGGCATGATTTTTCGTTTACAACAGCAAAATACTATTCATGTTATTACTTTAGCCGGAGAAGATTTTTTCATGTAGTACTGGTTACATCAAGTAAAATGCAGTAAATATCTTTATATTCATTGGTTTACATACATAATGTTGTTTTGGGCATCGCATGAAAGATAAATATCTAGAAAATATAAGATTGATAAGAATACCTGTACACTGTATTCGTCCATTCCCTGACCAGTATTCGACTACACTATGGGAGTAAAACCAGAGTACAATGTATAATGTATTGGTCCATTCCCTGACCAATATTGGACTACAGAATGGGAGTAAAACAAGAGTACAATGTACAATGTTTTGGTCCATTCCCTGACCAATATTGGACTACAGAATGGGAGTAAAACAAGAGTACAAGGTACAATGTATTGGTCCATTCTCTGACCAATATTGGACTACAGTATGGGAGTAAAACCAGAGTACAATGTACAATGTTTTGGTCCATTCCCTGACCAATATGGGACTACAGAATGGGAGTAAAACAAGAGTACAAGGTACAATGTATTGGTCCATTCCCTGACCAATATTGGACTACAGAATGGGAGTAAAACCAGGGTACAATGTACAATGTTTTGGTCCATTCCCTGACCAATATGGGACTACAGAATGGGAGTAAAACAAGAGTACAAGGTACAATGTATTTGTCCATTCCCTGACCAATATTGGACTACAGAATGGGAGTAAAACACGAGTACAAGGTACAATGTTTTGGTCCATTCCCTGACCAATATTGGACTACAGAATGGGAGTAAAACCAGAGTACAAGGTACAATGTTTTGGTCCATTCCCTGACCAATATTGGACTACAGAATGGGAGTAAAACAAGAGTACAATGTACAATGTTTTGGTCCATTCCCTGACCAATATTGGACTACAGAATGGGAGTAAAACAAGAGTACAAGGTACAATGTATTGGTCCATTCTCTGACCAATATTGGACTACAGTATGGGAGTAAAACCAGGGTACAATGTACAATGTTTTGGTCCATTCCCTGACCAATATGGGACTACAGAATGGGAGTAAAACAAGAGTACAAGGTACAATGTATTTGTCCATTCCCTGACCAATATTGGACTACAGTATTGGAGTAAAACCAGGGTACAATGTACAATGTTTTGGTCCATTCCCTGACCAATATTGGACAACAGAATGGGAGTAAAACACGAGTACAAGGTACAATGTTTTGGTCCATTCCCTGACAAATATTGGACTACAGAATGGGAGTTAAACCAGAGTACAAGGTACAATGTATTGGTCCATTCCCTGACCAATATTGGACTACAGTATGGGAGTAAAACCAGAGTACAATGTAAAATGTTTTGGTCCATTCCCTGACCAATATTGGACTACAGAATGGGAGTAAAACAAGAGTACAAGGTACAATGTATTGGTCCATTCTCTGACCAATATTGGACTACAGTATGGGAGTAAAACCAGGGTACAATGTACAATGTTTTGGTCCATTCCCTGACCAATATTGGACTACACTATGGGAGTAAAACAAGAGTACAAGGTACACTGTATTTGTCCATTCCCTGACCAATATTGGACTACAGTATTGGAGTAAAACCAAAGTACAGTGTACAATGTTTCGGTCCATTCCCTGACCAATATTGGACTACAGAAGGGGAGTAAAACAAGAGTACAAGGTACAATGTATTGGTCCATTCCCTGACCAATATTGGACTACAGTATGGGAGTAAAACCAGAGTACAATGCACAATGTTTTGGTCCATTCCCTGACCAATATTGAACTAAAGAATGGGAGTAAAACAAGAGTACAAGGTACAATGTATTGGTCCACTCCCTGACCAATATTGGACTTCAGTATGGGAGTAAAACCAGAGTACAATGTACAATGTTTTGGTCCAGTATGCGAGTAAAACTAAAGTAGAATGTATTGGTTCACCACATGCCGATATTGGACTACAATATGTAAACCTACATATTGTGTAAGAAAGTAATGATTCCAGTTACTAATACGGATATGACATTTTCGAAATCATAGCAATATCGCGCGTGCCTAGAAATAAGCACATGGACAAATAGTTGACTGGAAAAGTGAAAAATTCAAAAACGCTGGAAACGCAATTGAGATCGTAATCTTTTTTCTTCCTATGTTACAGTAAAATGTAACTTCCTACCTGTTGCTTCGTTTGGAGACCATCTTATACCACTGTGAGACGAGCTGGCCGTGTTTGCGTACTGGTGTAGGGCATTTTCTGTGTCACAACCGTTATCAAGGCCTAAAGGTTTGAGCCAAGCTAGATGAACGCTGTCAATGTCTGCTTCAATTACCTATTCACATATAGATACTTATATAAGTTCCTGTTCCTGCTATTAAACCATTATTTAAACACTTATAATACTGCAAGTTTGTAACGTCGCTTTTCATTGGATAATCGTGACGTTTATATAGTTTTACATACCCGGCTCATGTCGATTCATAAAGAAATCTCGCTTAATTCCTCTAAAAATGATGCTTGTTGTATTATAAATTCGTTTTAAATATTTCTGACAGGTTATATGGCCTAGCGGCTCGGGTTATATTTACAAACAACCGTTTATATAGGGCCATATAACCTGTCAGAAATATTTATAACTAATAATGTTTGCCGTTTATAAAGAAAGATAGATTTATTCGTTTCTTAGGCATAATGTGCCTTTAAAAGCTGACAAGACTTTAAAATGCATTTACTTTACAATTCAAGAGATGTAGATCTATCATACTTTAATAGTTAATATACATGAGACCTTGTGTCAAAAATCAAAATATTTCTTTCAACACTTACCCTCGGAGGTACAGGGACAGGCGCAGGTCTCTCCATATCTCTCATGGGTTGGTAGACCAAGTCAATGTAACAGTGCATTCGAGCCTCTTGTTGCGGTGTAAAGTGGTCTGTGCACGTGTCATCTAGATAATTTATACGAAATGATAAAACACAGTACGGACACTCACCAAAACAGCATTGTTTTTTTATAATTCTATTTATTTTAAAATATATCAGTTCTCTTTTAACATCTATATAATGTACAACCACTCAGTAAACCATTGTTTATATTGTCTATATCATAATTTCCCAATTCCCATAAATTTAACTGCAGAATTCATAGTAACTAGTAGCTTTTGTTTTTTGTTTGTCTTTAAAGGGAGAGGTACAGAAAATAAAATGAGACAAACAAGATTGGTTTGTGCAGCAAAAAAAATTCCCCGGCCCAAATGTGTTTATAGTAACAAAAATATTATGATAAAATTTCCTACAGATAGAATAATTGTCCCTAATGGTCAAGGCCATATCAGTGCCAAGGTCATAAAATGTCCATGTCAAACTAAAAGTCTACATTAGTCAGGCGGTTTGTTGTTTGTTGCAAATTTTAAAGAATTAAGGTGCTTTGACCAAGCTAGAGTTGTCAACGCACAGACAGACAGACATACAGACAAAATCAAACATCTGGCGATATATCAATGGTTGTCATAAAAAGTGAAAAAGTCAAATGGCGTCAATGTTTTTCACCTACAGGACATTGACTTTTGCTTATTTTTAGGGCAAAATGAAAATAATAACACTTTAATTTTGCCAAATCATTCAATTTAAATAGTTTTTGAATCATAATTACACATAATGTTGACATCTAGAATTCGAAAAATTCAAGGTCTAAACAAATTAATTGATTTCATTGAAATGGTGCACGTTTCTTTTCAAAGTAACCTTCAAAAAATATTTTTAGATACAATAAAACAGTGCTGATTTTAGTACATGATTATGTTTTCATTCGTTAAAAAATATTTTAGAGTGTATTATAAGTTATAAAAGCATGTTTGACCTTTATCAAAATTAAAAAAAACAACAATAAACAACAAAAAAACAGATCAATGTAATAAAGAAAGTTTCATACAGAAAATATATTAACTTATACTTCAGATTCACGTCGTACATACTTTTCGACCTACGATAAAATCTATGGCGAGGTGTTTCAAATGAGAAATTTAGTTGGTCTAGACCTGGTGACAATATTACATATCACATACAGTTCTTCTTATGGAATTTTAGAAGCTCACCAATCAGAATGATCAGGTGACTTATAATTATAATACGGAAGTCTGACTTACCTGCATAACTCATGTAGTTGGTATAAGGGGTGTTTTCAAACGTTTTATGGTCACACCCATTCGGGTCTTCTTGATGTTTTGGTTCTCTGCAGAAACGGTTTCTCGGAGTGGGGTTTGTATCAGAACACAAGTCACCTGAATAGAAGAAAAAACGTTTTCAATATAGGTATATAAACGAGTTGATAATCGCTTTGTACGATACACAATCACATTTCTTAGGTTATATTTACGGTTAAAAAGAACAGAGGTGATATGCAATATATTTTAAATACATTTTTTCCGTTTTTTATGGAAATAGCTTCGTCATTATCACCCGTACATATGTACTTGGTCATAAAAAAGCTTAGTCATTATCACCACATAATTGGTCATTCTCTTAAGTTAAAATATATAAAGAATTTAAAAAAAAAATGAAAATTAGAGTATTGCATTTCACCTATGTTTACAGAAGTGAAAAATTTGGTGAGCATCATATATATTTCAAACAAATGGAGAAGGCATGGTAATAATACTCGTATGCCATGATTGTCGTAAAAACTCCCGCTCATTCCTATTGCAATGACCATGATTTATGACATATTCATTCAGTAAAAAGAATATGGTTATAAGAAAAATGTTGTATTGTTGGAAGGCACATTTTTAAATTTAATTCATTGTATTTGAACATCTTCAGATTACATAATTGTTCACAGTAATTTCATCGAATTATTTTGACAAAAAAAAACCAAAAACAACAAAAAACAAAACAACAACAACAACAAAATACAACAACACCACACCCTGATAAGTTCATACTATTTTGAAACTATGACGAGTCGTAATTAGGCCAATTTAATTTAGCAAAATATGTTAACTGTATAAAACTGTTTGTACCGTATACAGTACTTAAATGGCAAAAAAAGGAAGAATTTTATGATTTATTACAATTAAAATATCCCAGATTTATGATAAATGGATGAAATAATTAGAATATAAAGTAGAGCATATTTTACCAAGAACCAACGAGGGATGTGTTTCTACACAGGGATGGTCACATGACATCTCAGAAACGCCTCTATGCACGTGCCAGAGACCAAATATATGACCAAACTCGTGAATCAGTGCCTTCGATTTGCCGAGTTTTCCAAAACTATTCTCGTGCATCACAATTCCACCTGCAAAAAAATGAATAAATAATAAATAAATCGTAACTGCACACGCTCAAAGTGTCATTTCAAAATTAATGTGACGTCTTTAAGATACAAAAATAATAATAATGATAATAATGATATAAAAATCATTTCAAGTTTTTTCATTGGTATGTTTTTACAGACGTTCAGCAAATGTTTTTAAAATAGACACATTGCACAACAGTTTGTGTAATAGGTTATAACTGAACACAAGTCAGTCTATGAATACGAATGTTGTTAAACAATACATTAGAATGAGGGTACAGCTTCTTTCGATGTTCGATAATTTTTCAGTTCTTAGACAACAACACGAATAGCTTTTTTTAAATAATGTTCAGAAACTAGGAATAAAGTAAGGCGACAAATGCTGGCAAATAACATATCATATTATCTATACCCATTGTAGAGTAAACATTTTTCTCCCAGGGGTATGTTGCTAATCCTCGAAATGTGTCCGTGTCCCAGCTTGACGTTACGAAAAACACGTTGATGACGTCATCACCGGCTATTTGTAACTCCATTTTCAACTCTTCAATGTTCATGTAGCCCCTACATTGTATCAAATTAATATATACAACTACTTTTCCAAACAGTTCATATGAACAAACTTCTTATTTTAAACACATAATTATTTAAAACTAACCTAAATCATTTCAAATACATATAAAGAAAACAGTTATATAAATCAACCTCATGGGCCAATTATAATTCAAATCAAGATATCTCGTGTTTTATAATTCAAAATCTCATATGTTTCATAAGTCAATATCGCATGTGTTTTATTAGTCAAAACATCATGTTTCATTAGTCAGGATTTCACCTGCTTTATTTTTGAAGATATCACGATTTAATACGTTAAGATCTTACGTGTTTTTTAGTCAAAATATCATGTTTTATCAAAGTTAAGATCTCACGTGTTTTATTAGTCAAAATATCATGTTTTATCAAAGTTAAGATCTCACGTGTTTTATTAGTCAAAATATCATGTTTTATCAAAGTTAAGATCTCACGTGTTTTATTAGTCAAAATATCATGTTTTATCAAAGTTAAGATCTTACGTGTTTTTAGTCAAAATATCATGTTTTATCAAAGTTAAGATCTTACGTGTTTTTAGTCAAAATATCATGTTTTATCAAAGTTAAGATCTTACGTGTTTTTAGTTTAAATATCATGTTTTATTAAAGTTAAGATCTTACGTGTTTTTAGTCAAAATATCATGTTTTATCAAAGTTAAGATCTCACGTGTTTTATTAGTCAAAATATCATGTTTTATCAAAGTTAAGATCTCACGTGTATTACCACTCTTTATTAGTAAATATATAACTATTTTATTAGTCAAAATCTGGCGTGGTCTATAAATCAAATTCTCATATTCAATTTCAATAAATCAAGATAACGTTTTAATTGGTCAATATCATATTTTCTTACAAACCAAGACCACTCAATTTTGTAATCAAGATCGCAGGTATTTTCATTACTAAAGATCCAACATAACGTTGTATTTATGAATTAATATCTCACATATATAATATCAAGATCCCACACTCTTTATATCAAGGACTGGTATTAAATAAAACAGTGGTTCACAGTTTTATATGTCAGTATATCATGTTCTTTTCAACTTAAGATCTTACTTATTTTATCAGTCTTATATAAAAAAAAATATCTCAGGACGTATATCATTGAAATCTTAATTTTCTAAAATTATATATTTCTTAATACAGGTAAAGCAAAATATCATGTTATATAATATCAAGATTTAATTTTTATAAGTCAAGAAATCATGTTCTTTGCTAATGAAGATCTCAATTTCTTTTATAAATCAAGATCGCGCACCCTTAACACTGATGGCATCGCTTTATTTAAAAATCAAAATCGGGCTTGAATTCTAGTCAACAACAAGTGTTTTGAATATAAAATAAGATTATATTGTATTCAATGAAACAAGTTCACAATACCTTTGAGGGTTCTCGGGGTTTATGCATGTATGATAAGCCTTCTCATCTCCTGGTTTACAGCAATCACCGTTGTCATAGTTATGATAAGCTTTGTTACATTCAGAATTACACTCTCCGTTTCCAAGCAAATCTTTTTTGCATTCAGATGTCACGTGGTCACAATCCCCGCCGTCATTTCCGGTTGTAGAATGCGCGCATACTTGGTCGCAATAGCCGTCGCCTATTTGATACGGGTGGCAATCAAACATAAAAACTTTTTGCAAAAGTGTCGTATTTTTTACACGTCGGACCTGAAGATCCAAGCTGATGTTATATTGGTTAAACACTTTATTAAGTATTCTGTGCTGTTCTAGAATCTGTTTATCGTAGACTTGTGCTTTCTTCCCGTTGTCATCAAGAACATTCACCACCCTGTACCGTATCTCTTTTTCATTCCGCAGATTTGCATTGTTCAGATAGCTTATTACAGTTTCCGGGTCATCACAAACAGTCCGACCACAAGGGGGCGCTTCAAGACGAACCGTATGATACGGTAGAACGACATCAGACGTAACAAGCTCTGGATTTTCATCCGACAGTATTTCCCAATTGTCCAAGCTCTCAAATGCATCTACTACAACAGAGTTGTCTAAACGAGAAAAATCATTGGAATGTCTGTTAATGTTTTCAACAATCTCGGCATGACTTAAAAGCACGGTTCCACAATCCAAACTCATCAATTTTCCCGCGGTAATAAATATCCTCGTCTGGCCGTCCACCCATTATTAAACTAATGCAGCTTTTGACATGTTGCCTGAATATGGCGCCATTTTGTTCTCCATTGAGCGAAACTTCTGCTCCGTTCATAAAAAGTTTCATCGAAGATCCATCGTATGTTGCGGCTATATTTGTCCATGTGTTTGGCTCAAAAGGTTTGTGCGACAGAATATCAGACGATGAGTCTGCGTCATTGGAATGTAAAGAAAAGACAACTCTAGCATTATGTCTGGAGTATGACGGAAGCTTGAACCCGATAGTCCAACCGATACTTTTGTCGCTACTACACGCGTCGTGTACGCCTGACAATATAAATTAAAGTCTTCATGAGATATTACATAGAACGGCTGCGTGATTTCATGGGTAATGTTAATGAGCGAGACTAAAGGCTTTGTAGGATCGATATTTTTTCTTCCGGTTAATTAACTGTGCAGTGCAGTTGCCCCATATTTCATTGCCCCGGAAGTTTATTTGTTATTTTCCGGGGTAGCGAAGGTAGAGCAGTTGCCCTGTGAGACAACTATGGTTTTCATTCATACCCGGGTTGGGGGTCAGATCGTTACCCTGGATTAATACTTCAGAGTACAATCACATATAATTCGGGCATATTCAAATCAATAAAACAATGTTTTTTAATAGGCTGTCGCCCTTGTCAAAACAGTTGAATAACTGTGTTATATGCATCATAATTTATATTATATGCATTATGATTTGTGTTGAATGCAATGTGATTTGTGCGGTGTGTACATGTATTATGATTAGTGTTGTATGCATTATGATTTGTGTTGTATGTAGTATGATATGTGTTATTTGCATTATGATTTGTGTTATATGCATTATGATTTGTGTTATATGCATTATGATTTGTGTTATATGCATTTTGATTTGTGGTGTGTGCATTATGATTTGTGTTATATACATAATGATTTTTGATATATGCATTTTTATTTGTGTTATATGTATTATGATTTGTGTTATATGTATTATGATATGTGTTATATGCATTATGATTTGTGTTGCATGCAATATGAATTCTGTTATATGCATTATGATTTGTGTAGTCTGCATTGTGATTTGTGTTGTGTGCATTATGATTTGATGTTGTATGCATTCTATCGGAACATATCGGCTATTAATGATAAAAAAATAATATCTGAAGTTTGACGGAAAGGTCCGAGAAGACGGGGTTGGTGTGCATTTTGATTTAAATTGCAATTTCGGAATTAAGTTTATGTAAAAGTTTATTAAATCAAATTTGGCGCGACCAAGTTAATTATGGAAATACGTACTAATAAATTTTGATTAAATGCACAAGCAAACACAAGTGATTATAAATCTATAAATCTTGTTATATTTTCCCAGTATTTCGACCATACAATATGATTAGTGAAATCCGGGTCAAAATCTCACACTGTCGTAGGTTAAGTTGCCCTGATTTTGACTTAATCTTATTAATTATTTTCTTAAGATACCTGTAATGGGTATATTTAGGAACCTGATCAAGCTTAATATTTTATCAAAGTACTCTATTTATCTTATTCAATTGCAAATTTTCAAAGACATTTACCATCAAGTTTTCAAATTATAAGCATTTTTATGTGAATACCCCCTCCCACTAAATTGCCCCCAAAAAAGTGGGGGTAGGGGTAAGGAATATAAATGAAAAAAAAATTTTGCAGCTTTTACCTACAATGTAAGTGTTTATTATGTTTCAAGACATATATTATGATAACAAAATAACAATAAACTGTTCACAAAATGTATTGATTTCAGCCAATTGACTAAAACCTCATCCAAGATTTCTGAAACTTAAAAAAAAACACATAAAAATAGATATAAAATAAGAATTATTATTATTATTTTTTTTAATATTTGGATTGGGGCAAGCAAATTACTTCTATAACTTTTAATACTCTTTCATAGCAATCAAAATATGGAAATTTCATGACCTCTTTCCACATTACTTTTTTGACAAAAATGTGTTTTACTAAATGATGTAAAAAAAATTCCGAAACAAAAATGTACAGCATAGCTGTTACCTGTCTTACTTATCTCTTGGAAAACAGCAGATTTTGTAAAATATGATTATTTATGTGTTTTTCTAAACAGAGGCTATCTTAATAAATATACAGTCATTTAAATGAAATCTTCAAATATTGTTTCATTATATTTGTCATGTTCACATTCTCAAAAATTTCATTGCTAAACTTCCAAAATCTTACAGGAAAATTATTGAAATTTATTACAAGAATAACTATTTCATCACAAGAAACTACTTGAATTCATTGCATCCTCTCAGTAAAATATTGAAATAATATTTAAATAATTTCACTTCCAAAATATCAGAACATAATAACACAAAAGCTGATATATTGAGGATATTGAAGGAATGTTCAATACTGAATTTAGTACTGGCGAGCAAATTATTATTACATTCAACGAATTGAATCAATGCAGTAACGAACCTACATAAATATAATATTCTATGTATCACATGCACAAAATAAAAACTGTTTAAAATAAAAAATAATAATTCTCCATTGATGCGCCTTTATTGTAACTCTAAAATTTATGGCGTCTTTATGTTTGTATAACGGAAATGACATCAGATCTAAATATATGCACAGTCGTACAATACCATTTTTATGAAACCACAACATTGGCACTAGTATATTAAAAATTTGCATACATCACATTCTCAAAATCTTGATACTGTTATAGATTTACTTTTAACACAAATATTTTCAACATGAACATTATGATGTAATGATTTGATGACATCAGGAAGTTCTCGATCCAGTTCTGGTTGCTCATAACGGACGAAACTTCCATTTCACAATAAATTTAAATGACCTCATCATGTAAAAAGCAATAAAATGACTAAACAGTCACAGAGTCACAGAATAAACATAAATATTGTTTACCGGTACTTCACATCTTAGATAAAATTATACTAGTATCAATGGGTGTGTGTATTCTACTCATTAGCTTTTATACTAAAACTCATGGCTATGCCACTAATAAAAATGTTGCATCTGACGTTAACTTTATGAAATACGTTTTGATCTTACATGCAAATCCAAGATCATCCCTTGTATTTATTTATTTTATTATCTAAACTAAAGATTCATGTACATTTATTAACATGTTCACTATGATAATGTACAGTCATATAACCATCATCTGTGACTTTTATGCCAGTTATTCGTTGAGGTTCTACTGCTATTGGCATTGGAGGAATTACATATTGATTAAATGAAGCAGCAGTCTTTATTTCTTTAGCTGCAATCTGTGTTATATGTGGCATCTGGCATCTGTGAACCTCGAACTGCAATAAATATAATGATATTGTACTATAAAGTGACAAAAGATGTACCCATATAGGCTAGCATATTGTAATGGTGAAAACTGTTACCCTGTCTGCACAATTACTTTATGAATTAGAAAATAAATTATAGGATTACTAAATTACATACTGTTTACTCTCCAGAAATTTAGCATGTAATTGGAATAATGATTATTTCAATACTTTACACAGTTTAGAAATGTGACATATGACTTTTATCTCTTTTCTATATTCAAAATCTGGTTTTAGGAAAGCAAATGTCAACTCACTTAGATCTGTAGTTTCCAAATCAAATGTTATAAATGTAGGATTTTCTGTCTTTACTCACAGGTAAACGTTGCGTGGCCATGACTTACACTATACCCCCGTTCCCCCTCTACAACCCAAAACCCTAAAAAAAAATTATGAAAAAAAAAAAAAAAATTTATGACTAAAATATTATAAAGGTATTTTACTCTACTTTCATTTTGCATAGAAATATCACTAGCATCTCAATTATCAGCGCATATATTCATCAATTTTTCACCAATCTTAACAATCTTGGTCTCAAATCTTAGATAAATAAATACTCTTTAAGAAAACAACACTGGCACCTTCGCTGATTATACGTAGCAAGAAATATCCAAGCCCAAACTGTCAACAAATGAAACTCGGAAGAGATCTGATTGCACCGTTTCGGTAAAACTCTCACGAGTAAAACACACTAAATTCACCGTGAAAGAATATTTCTTTGTATTGCGTATTTAAATATGATAAAATTTAGTTATTATTTGTAATAATTGTTCAATCAAGGCATCATATGAAACTATAACGAACCTTTTTTCCTATATGTCAAATTCTCAATCCAAAATGAAAGTAAATTGGCACAGCAGAGTTGTTTCCCTTTAAGTATTTTCATTGGTCCGAGGTTTTCCTGTGACCAATGAAAATACTCCATTTGAAAACAATCTGCAGGCCCATTTTACTTTCATTTTGGAATGAGAATTTGACATATGGGGAAAAAAGGTGCGTTATAGTTTCATAAGATGCTTTGATTGAACAATTATTATAAATAATAACTTAATTTTATCATATTTAAATACGCAATACAAAGAAATATTCTTTCACGGTGAATTTAGTGTGTTTTACTCGTGAGAGTTTTACCGAAACGGTGCAATCAGATCTCTTCCGAGTTTCATTTGTTGACAGTTTGGACTTGGATATTTCTTGCTACGTATAATCAGCGAAGGTGCCAGTGTTGTTTTCTTAAAGAGTATTTATTTATCTAAGATTTGAGACCAAGATTATTAAGATTGGTGAAAAATTGATGAATATATGCGCTGATAATTGAGATGCTAGTGATATTTCTATGCAAAATGAAAGTAGAGTAAAATACCTTTATAATATTTTAGTCATAAAATTTATTTTTTTTCATAATTTTTTTTTAGGGTTTTGGGTTGTAGAGGGGGAACGGGGGTATAGTGTAAGTCATGGCCACGCAACGTTTACCTGTGTCTTTACTGGCTTGAACTTTCCCTTAGAAACTGCATCTGGTAAGGTCTGTATATCTGGGTCTGCTGTATGACCAATACCTAAAATTGTCACATCATATTATATAGATAGCTTTTATACACAGTGCTTGGAAGTGAAAGGAAAAGCTTGCAAATAATATAAGGTTCTGAAGGGTTTTAAGATCCTTATCTATGACTTAAACATCTAGCACCTTGTATCTTACAGTTATTACCATACAAAATTAAGAATAGCATGTGTATTACTTAGGCTTATTATAATGATCACAATGAGAGTCTTATTTTATTTTTTTCTGTAGAAGAAAAATGCTTCTGAATCTAGTGCTGCATGCAAATAAATGATAAACACACCTTCAAACATAAAAAACAAGAGCTATCACAGAAAGTGACAAATGCCCCCCCCCCCCAAGGATCAAGGATTCTAGTTATAAACCACCTACATGTATATTACATGTTAAGTGTGGTGGTAAAAAAATGACAAAGTGTGAACCCCAGCAGTGACCTTTAAGCGAGAAAAAGAAACTTGTGTCTTGTTCACAACACATAGTACATCTATGGTGATTTTATATTTTTAAATAAAAATTGAAACTTTAATGTATATGAAAGTACAGAGCGGACACTATAACATAAACATTGAAAAAGTTTAAACCTCAGCAGTCCCTGTGGTGGAAAATGTTTAACATGAATGATGGCACATGTATTGAAAAGACTATAAATATATTTTATACACTTAATGCTTTTAACTCAGAAGTGGTAAATTATTTTTCGTATTAAGGTGTAAAACAATTTTGACAACAGTCTACAATGGCTTGTTATTTAAATGGCATAAATATTTTTTAGATACATATACTTAATTCTCAATTAAAGAGATGTAAAAATGTTTTGTGGTAACAAGTTAATTACATACTCCATTTCATACTCCATTTGTAAGCCTCTTCAGCTGACCGTCTCTGTGATTTTGCTCAGACAGCTTCTATCACTTCACCAGCCCTTCTCTCAATTTCCTTAAGATTTTCTAGGCTTATCAGCAAGATCAAGAGTGGCAAAGAAATTGTTAACTTTGACAGCCCACCAATGCTGTCAATCATTGCTGTAAATATGACAGAAAAAAAAGCAGTTACAATCATTGTTCAAATTAGATGGTGTATGTGCATAAACCTTAAATGATAATTTTTTAAAATACTTAATTACCTTTTAACTGTTGAGTAATGCTTGAAATTTTTACTTTCTAGCACATGAATAAGATTTTATAAATATTAAAATCACTGAGTTCACTAATATGAGCCTACTGTCATGTGTGAAGTAGAGTATTCTAAGTAGTGTTGGGAATCGGAGGACAAACTCATAATCGATTAATCGGAACAATCGTACAGGCTCTCCGATCAATTAATCGGAATAATCGGACTGAATGTTTTCCAGCATAACTAACTAGAAAATAGAAATCATTATAACTTTTATTTAATATAAATTAATGTTTTATCTAATTGTCTGTTTAACGTATTACAAAATACAAATTCTTCAGTCAGGACACAGTTTACATACATGTAATGATTTTCATATTCATATTCAGAAAAATCAATGTGTCCCTGTTGCCAGCATTTACTTATTTAATCAAAAATAAAGTTTTATTTAAGTGCCTATTTCACAATCAAGCTAAAATAAATATGGTTAAACTAAGGAAATTTTGAGATTCAGGGTTCCAATTCCTGTGGGAACTATTCATGGTCATATAAAATAATAAATTATAATAAATTAATAACTGCTACCAATAATTGATAAAATGTATCTATGTGATTAATAAATTAATTTAATATGCATGATCAGGAATACAATTGTAAGTTACCATTTCACATAAAAAAATTAATTATTTTATTTCATTTTTAATAACAGAATCGCCGTACCATAAACGGTGTCATGGTAAATATAAGTTTAGAAGCCTTTTAAATTTATTATTTAACATTATAAATGGACAGAGTAACGAAGATTGTTACAGTAAAATACAGCATCAGAATCCGATTTTAATTTAAACGGGTGGGGTACCTATGTTTGCATATCCTTTACCACAAAACTTGCACACAACTTTAGCCATGTCCAAGTTATCACGGGTAGCGGGTGCTTCAATATTCAGCTTATGGAAACCAAAATGATTCCAGACATTTGATGATGTTTTCGTGAAGATTGAAGAGTATTCAAATTAAATAGCACAAAGCCAAAAAACTACGAAAAATAACTACCACAAAGGAACAAAAATTAACACTAAGCGACAATCGATTCTGTTCGACCACAATCGATGTCGGCGACATTATCAACATACCGATCTATAATCGGATAGCGGCGACAATCGGCCCATCACTAATTCTAAGACATTAAAGCTGCATATCTTCAGTTAAGCTGACGAGAAAATTAAAATTGAGAGAGAAGTGTTACATATATTGTATTTTTACATTGAAAGTAGCCAGTCGTACAGGCCCGTACTGCTAGACAAAATTTCTAGCTGTGAGTCACAGATGACTAGCATATATGCACTGTTTAGGCTAGCCATACAGCATTTTTTCAATGAAAAATAAGTGCAATGCTTGCACTTCATTTTGTTAATTTCACGGTTCAAAACTGTTCACTATTTAGGGGAGAAGATGTGTAAGCGGCCGGATAGCTCAGTCGGTAGAGCCGCGGTACGGTATTCCGAGGGTCCCGGGTTCGAGTCCCGGTCAGGCTGCACATTTTTCTCACCCTGTGACATTTGGCGCCCAACTTGGGACCGTAATGGTATAAATTCCGAGTTCAATTTCACATTGTTCTCTTTACCCATTAGAAATTCGAGGACGAATTTCAATATAGCGGGGGAGTATGTCACGGTTCAAAACTGTTCACTATTTAGGGGAGAAGATGTGTAAGCGGCCGCATAGCTCAGTCGGTAGAGCCGCGGTACGGTATTCCAAAGGTCCCAGGTTCGAGTCCCGGTCAGGCTGCACATTTTTCTCACCCTGTGACATTAATACAGTCCAAAGATGTAGTTGTATCATTGTATGACACTTTGCTACTAAATAATGTTTACTTTGATGATTATGTGATGTTTAATTATATTTGAATATATGTATTTTGTGACCATGTGCATTTTGTACACATCTTATATGAATAAACTATCTATCTATCTATCTATCTAGTATCTTATTAAATTTTAAGCCAGTTACTCACATTTCTTATGACATTTTCAGCCAGTTACTTAATTGCACTTCTTATTATCGATACATTTTCAGAAATAATGAACATATATACATATTTCTAATTTTCTATTAATTGATTTTAATGATGTTATTCGGCAATTTATATTATGGCGAGATATCGACAGAATTAAATTTACCTATAATAAAACAGTTTTTGTGAGCTGGTGTAAATTCTGTGATATTTACAAGTTACAATTATTAAAATGAGCCGTGTCACGACAAAACCAACATAATGGGTTTGCGACCAGCATGGATCCAGACTGACCTGTGCATCCGCGCAGTATGATCAGGATTCATGCTGTTCGCTATCACTTTGTCTACTTTTTATAGGGGTTGTAAGCGAACAGCATGGATCCTGATCAGACTGTGCGGATGCGCAGGCTGGTCTGGGTCCATGCTGGTCGCAAACCCATTATGTTGGGTTTGTCGCGACACGGCTCAAATTACTTTGTCATTATCTAGTGCCTCGGGGCCTGGCTGATTAACATTCTAAAATATCTAAATTTGTTTCAAATAAAAAATAATAATTACCAAATCCAAGCTTTGTGTTTATTTCAAAGCAGGACATCCCTTCGTTTTTTTGAGGTGTGTTGTTCCATATGAAACCAAATTTACATCTCCTCACTCTAAATTCGAACACATAACGTACAGATAGCCACCCAAGCCATTTTGCAGCTCCCCCACAATGTTGTCGCTTGTGAGAATAAAGGTCCAAGACGACATTCCTTGCAGTGAGCTAAATTTCTAACTAAATCGTCGAACTCAATCACCCGTCTATCTTTCATGTCTTTTCTCCACCCACCTGCCGATCCCTTCTGTCGGTGTTCATAAATTGGACAATTACCAATTTTGCACTTACAAATGTTCAATACGTGAGGGTTATTATGATCCACATGAATATTAGGTTCTTTTCTCAACTTGCGTTTGTTTTTGGCCTTGTAACGGCCTTTTCTGTCTCTTACTTTCATTTTCACTTAAGTGACTTCTGCGGTCTATTTTCTGAAATCGTGACGTCATATAGGGGTACGTTACGATACCGAAATCAACTTGATTTCGGTAAAGTTACCGAAATCAACTTTTCATTACCGAAATCAACACGTAAAAACCAAACTAGTTAAAATATTGCTATTATTTCTTCATTATTTGATGAAAAATAATGAAATAGACTTTCAGTTAAAAAATCTATTGAAAATATTTTATTTTAATGATGTTATTAACAAAAATGTAATTATTGAGTTACTTCCCTTTGTTCTAAACAACCCTTTTATGTGTGTTTAGCATTACCGAAATCAGCTGTGAAGTTTAAATTATGTATATAATTAGTTAGATAAATTAATTAATATATTAGATAACTCTAGTAGAGCTCTATTTTATAGACATATTTCTGTTTTTAAGTTTCAACCATATCTAAATATTATCAATGTTGAACGGTTTTTGTAAAGATCTCACTAGGTTAAGAGTATCATCTCATAGATTGCACATAGAATCAGGTAGATGAACTAAACCAAATAGTACACCTTTAAATGATAGAAAATGTTTTTCATGTAAATGTCTTAGAAGACGAATACAATTTCATATTGGAATGCAATGTATATAATGATTTTAAGAAAAAGTCTGATACCGCCATATTAGGTCATGTTATATATCTGCACGTGATTGTCGTGCATAACAATTTTCTTATCAAATCGTATTTTTTAAAAAGCTATGATCGGACAATGATGGAAAAATAAAATACTTTGTAATATGAGTTAAAGATATTTATAAATTTTGTACATGTTTATGTTTTATGAAGAAAAAAATATCCCACTTCAACCGGAAGTTTATGATTTTCTATTATAAATTTGAATACAGATATATAATTCGACTGCTCTTAAAATGTTCCAAAAAAAAATTGTATAATGTATCAGGCAGTAAACTTGGAAATTGGAAAGTTTGTGTCTTTCTTTTATTGAACAGTTAAACTATATATTAACAAATCGCTAAACATATGTTATGGGGACTCTTTATCATAATATTTTAAAAAATTTTAGTCATTTATTTAAATGTTTATTAGGACATAAACAGATGGTTCATTATAATCTTTATCTTTAATAACATTGTATGCCAACTGTACCTCCTGTCTTAATTACTTCATATTACCGCCTCCGTGGTCGAGGGGTTAGAGTCGATGACTTCTAATCCAGTTACCTCTCTGGCGTGGGTTCGATCCCCGGGAGATGCTTTGGTACATTGTAGTTTGGCGCGGAGGAAGGTAGTCTAGTACTGGTGTAACTCTCCAGGAACGATGGTTAGGAAACTACCCGCCTATATGACTGAAATACTGTTGAAAAAGGCGTAAAATGAAGCAAACAAACAAACAAAACTTAATTACTTCACACCTTACTTAATACAGTAATACACAACATGTCAAATCGTACTTGTAAGTTACAACATTTCATAATTGAAATTTGTCAGTATAAAGTGTTCCATTTTTTCCATCATATAAATATATACCAGTCATTCCATAAATGTATGCTGTTTACAGATATGAAATTTAAAATGATTTTAAATCGATCAACATAAAATCATGACTTAACACTTTTTCAATAAGTAGAATATGTCCGGGACATCAAAAAAAATTGCATACATTTTTTTGGAACAACTGATATGCAATTCGGTAATAATAATATCAAAGCACCTTGTCTCATATACCGAAATGTTTTCTACGGAAACGTATCGCGATCACCCCTATATGTTAGTTTAAAACAGATCTTTTGACAATTTATTTAATATATAAAATTTACCAGCTTACTAGATTCTGAAATATTTATACTATAAAACTATAAAAAAAGTCTTTTGATACATATTATATAGGGATGGTCGCTATACGTCATTTAATATTAAACTGTAATGTACTTTTTGTCTTAATAGAGACAAGCAGCTTTAATTTCATGTAAAATAAGTATGTCTAATTATGTTTGTTTGGATACTTTAAAGTTTCCATGCGCCGATGTATATTAAAGGACTGCGGTGAACGAGTAATGTTATGTCAACACCTCCATTGTCCGAGCACGTGTATGCTTGCTCCTTATTAGTAAAGGTGTTATGATGAATGGCTACCGCTACGTCTTTTTATTTTAATCAAATCATAATCATTGGATTTAAATTAAATTTTGTGATAATTTCCAATCAACTATTTCTGAAATTCATGCAAATTATTTAGGGGTTGTTCTCATCTTTGAAATGAAATCTGATTTGATTTCGGTAATGCAACACATTAATAACAAGGGAAGTAATCATGATATAATATACATATCCGTCTATAAGCACGGATTTATATTATAAATCCGTGCTATAAGTTAACATCATCATTTTTATAATTAAATATTATTTTTCTTTGTTTATGGTTCAGTTTGAATGACTTTATATTAATTAATTAAACAAGATCTATTAAAATGTTTATTTTAACTTTTACAAGCCGATTTCGGTATGGTAACATATACATATATTTCGGTTCGTGACAAATCAGGGAAGTAATCTTGATATTTAGTTATTTGTTTCTAATTTCATTATAAATAATTATTTCGAACTGATTTTTTGCAATGAAAGTCAAACTAAACCTATTGTAATAGATTATAATGAAAAAAATATAATAGAACGCTTAATTATGATTTTACAAGTCGATTTCGGTATTGTAACATATATTTCGGTTCGTGACAAATCAGGGAATAATCTTGATATTTAGTTATTTGTTTCTAATTTCGTTATTAATAATTATTTCGAACTGATTTTTTGCATGAAAGTCAAACTTAACCTATTGTAATATATTATAATGAAAAAAATATAATGAAACGCTTAATTGTGATTTTATAAGTTGATTTCGGTAATGAAAAGTTGATTTCGGTAACTTTACCGAAATCAAGTTGATTTCGGTATCGTAACGTACCGGTCATATAGGGGTTTCCCAACCTGGTTTCAAAGCAACGGGGTTTTTACGAATTATCCGTTTACAAACAACATATTCTTTTTGATAATTTCATTTTAATTTTATCAAAAACTAAATTTCTATTTGTATTGGATATAAATATACGGATAATTTATTCATTTAGAAATAAAAAATAATCTGTTTACGGAAACGGGCGAGAGGTAACGGGTGTGCCGATAAGTTACGTAGAATGCCGACATGGCACGGAAAAAACCCGATTCCATTACAGGGATCTTACCTTATTTTGATCCTTCTAACATGTATTGTTTATTCATATCCTCGTCCTCATTGAATGACAAATATAACACGAATTTCAATCATGTACATTTGAATTTATTTAAGTGCTGAAGTGCGTATAATGATATTTCGATGATGTTTTATTTATTACTGCATTTTCATATCTTAAGCTGAAAACTTTTTGATATTTAAAAAAAAAAAATTAATAGTTTTTGTGCCAAATCAGATACATATATTAATATATCTATATACCTGCCTAAATATTGAAATATTATCCACATTTAACATTTTTTCACCGAAATTCCGAATCTAGTCTGTGTTTATGTGTAGACTTAAACCTTAATATAAGACTGGGATAACTGCCGGAAGTTTTTCAAAATGAGCCGCGTCACGACAAAACCAACATAATGAGTTTGCGACCAGCATGGATCCAGATCAGCCTGCGCCTCCGCGCAGTCTGATCACTATCAATGCTGTTCGCTATTAGTTTCTCTACTTGCTATAGGATTTGTAAGCGAACAGCATGGATCCTGATCAGACTGTGCGGATGCGCAGGCTGGTCTGCATCCATGCTGGTCGCTAACCCATTATGTTGGTTTTGTCGTGACGCGGCTCAAATGTTTTTTTTTTCTGTTATGACAAAGTGAAACAAATCAAGGTATAAAACGTTATAAGAAACATATCTACCTATTATAGGCGTGAATCTGTACTGGCCACCCTCCGGCTTGATCCAGAATTGCACGCTAAATTCCTCATTTGGGAAATTCGTATTGTCATCCAATCTAAGCTGCATATGTTCCCCAGCACTCCCAAAAGATGCCGCGGTACCGAAAGGATACTTGGTTGACTCTTTACTGTCAGCAGCACGCGGATGACGTTGTAGCAGACGATTTTGTCGATCGGCCCGTATATCCAGATTATCATCGCAAACGACACCCATAACAAAAAATAACATTATGTAAAATTTAAAAAAAGAAATTATCGAAACATTATTATTAATGTTTCGTTTCATTTTCTGCGAAACTAACATTTTTAGATTTGTATTCCAAATGTTATTACATTTAACACAGACGCGACATAGTTTTTTTTAAAAAGTAAACTCGCACCAGTCATGTAAATTGTTTTTATATCAACAGTTATAGAATATGACCCTTTCCGTCAGTAAACTTGAAAAAAAGAAGAAAAGAAAATATAGTACAAAAGTTCATACATCATATTAATTTTAATAGAGTTATTTATTCGGGTAGGTAGGTGATCATAATACAATAAATCTGTCAATCTCTTTCAAAAGACCCTTGAACCCGGTGATTTTACTGTTTTGTCAAAGTTTGGGCAAAGAAAGTTAACGTCTGTCAAAAACTGCAATTGCATTTTACGACATGCGTTTATTATTTTTATTTTAGTAGATAATCGGTTTGGTTTTTGTACCGCATGCAAGCGGATAAATCTGCATTCTGATCTTACACAACAAAAAAAACCTAAATCGCTTGAACTGATTTAAAAACTTAAACTTTTATCGCACTAGATGCCCCCAATGAATGATGCAATCAATGTAACGTAAGAAGAAGTTAAACATAGATGCAGTTCAAATTAAATACGTTACATGAGCCGTGACATGACATTTCCAATATAGTCGACGTACTAGTACAAACGTTACGTCAAAGTTGACGCCAGCATTTCTAATCATATAAAGTGCACTTTTCCAATAAGAGATGTGCAGAGGTGTGCAGTTTTTAATAAGTGGGGGAAAAAACAATTCGTTACTGCGCTAAAATGATAAAAAAATTACTGCAATGATGACGGTATTCCTCAGTTAAAATATACGGATAGAAATGTGTCATTTTTAAGAGGATAGAAGTTAAATAAAAACTGTGCTGATAAATTTGTTCCAGTAAAAATAAATCCCTGACAAAGCACACGCCCAATTGTATTTAAAGTACCTTAAAAAAGAAAAAAATCAAGGAAAATATGAGTTGACAAATATGACTTTTTTATCTTTTCAAACGACACTTGACATATTATACTTACATCAGCCACTTTCAGGGTTTACATACTAAAGTACTTATGATAATTAACCAATAATCACATTCATTCTTTTGGTTATTATTTTATTTCAAGATGTTTTCCAAGTATTTCCCTTTATCGTAGAATGTCGCGGCTGATTGGAATACACGCTTTAATATAATTGGAAATAAGGAAGATATCACTTCACGTGGATCTCATTGTTTTTAAAATAACGGACACGAAATAATAAGAATATAACAATTAAGAGACCCTTTTCTGTGTAGTGGATTTGTGCATAAGGCGCTTAAAGTTGTTGAATCCCGTCCTGATTTATGTACAATTAAGGGAAAAATATAATTTCCTTGAAATTACATCATTAAACATAATGTAGACGTTAAAGTAGCATGCCTCATAACAATTTGGAAAATGTATTTTAAAGTCACTAGCCTCAAGATGGTAAAATAAAAAAAATTGAAATAATTGTGTAAATTGATTATAACTGACATCTTAATTCAAGAAAGAATGTTCACACGGTATCTGAAGTATAACGGAAGCTTTAAACCGATTGTCTAGCCAACAGTTTTATCGCTCTTACATGCGTCGTGGACGTCTGACATTATTAAGGAAAAGTCTTCATGAGATGTTACATAGAACGGTTGCGTGCTTTCGTGGGTAATGTTAATGAGCGAGACTAGAAAAATCAAAGTGCTGCAGCACTGAATGCGACGGACATGCAAACGTAGAGACATTAAGGCTTTTTTTTGAAAAAAAAAACAAACAACAACAACAACAACAACAACAAAAAACACAAAAGATAGAACAGAGAAAATTTGTTCCATACAAGTTCGAGATTTGTAGAGCAATATATTTTATGTGTCACAATCTGATAATATTATAATTCAGATTTTCTACTTTAGGCAGAACAAGTCCAAATTATTAAATACAGAATGAAATGTATGCCTTAAAACTCAGGTCAAACTTGTAAATTAGTGTCCTTATCGATTTATTCCAAGAAATGATATGTAATTTAAAAAAACTGTCAACGAAATACGAGTATTTGTAAAATAAATCATGCAAATAAATTTCAAGCATAATACAAAATACATGTGAGAATGTTAGAATTGCTTCGTGTTACATCATAGTGGGCATATAGACAATAAAATATAAGTTATTTGTATTTTTATTATATATTTTTTATTTCTCTTGGATATGTCTCATTAAAAATATTTTGGTTAAAATCATTAGCAATAAATGGTGTTTCTTTTAGAATTTATTTTTCATTTACAAGGTAAAGATATAAAGGCCAGAGCACATCGTTTTTATTTTAATTTAAATGTCTCTTAAGCACTACAGTGTTTAGTTGTCCCTTTCAATTTCACACTAAATTCCATTCTTCTTACAATTGTATAGAGTTGTATAGAATTGTATAGTATTGCATGTAAACAAAGTAAGTATCCGCTGGTTTATTTGCGTCCGCGCCAAAGCGCGGCGCCCCTTATGGAAGGAATGAGAAAGGGCGATTGCAACTTCTCGAGCCTTTTAGTCGGTCATAATAAAAGCCGATCATTCCGATCCGTATAGGGTGCTTGATTATTAATTAGAAATGAAATGTCGCGAAATGTACAATGAATAGCGAACTGGAGAATTTCGCAATGCAAACATTTTCAAATGAAATAACCTTTTCCGTCAATAAATAGCGCTCTTCGGGTTTTTTTTATTTATCATTTGAAGTACACAGTTTGTTATTATGGTATCCATAGAATGATGAGTTGATGACCTAAACATTCCGAAAATCTATTTATAGAGGGATGTACTTCTATCGGTAATTCCCGGTCTCTCCCGGTCTATTTTGACCGGGATTTACTAGTGACCGACGAATAGTATCACACGTTTATTGTCCGGTCTCTCCCGGCTTTAGAGTAGATGTTTGATATCGTTACAGAACAGAACTAATATTTTACAGATAAATAACATTTTTTCCAAAATGAATGTTTGTCACTTAGTTTGGTTCCAATTATTAATAAACACAGATCAACTCTCAAATTTATTGATTTTTTTATACATAAACATACAATTCGAAAAAAAACCTAACAACAACAACTACATGTATTAGATTTTATGAATTATTCAATTGATTGATAATTTAAAAAATGATAAAGAACAATACAAATGTACATGTACATGGTTTAAGAATAAACAATATTATATATTGAAAGATTAACCAAAATTTACTGACTTTTTCCAGTTAAGTTTTGACTTATAATCGTCGATACATGTATATTTGTTGCTATTAATAAAAAAAATGACAAGTTATATTTTAATCTCTAGCATGTCAATCAAAGTTCATAATGAACAATTATTTTCGTCCGTTCATTCATAAGTGATATACAATTCTGGTAAAAACCAATTAACCATTGAAAAGATTATAAGAATATCCTGTCATCATATGTCTACTAGTTCATCTTCACCTGCTGCATTTCTTGCTTGGACGCCCTTTGATGCTTTGCATCAATGCTTTTCTTGTTACATGTATTATGTGTACTCCCTAATCGCTTGTCCGAAAGTCAGCACAGGTGATGCAGAATCTATTTTTAGAATAGTGTTGGCTATTATAATCTCATAGCAGGTTAACTCATATCGTGACCTAGAAAATTATGTAAACAAAACACAAGAATCGGAAGTAGAACTGATATTATAACTTCCTTCAATAAAGATTACCATGAAAGACTACATGGTGGTGAAGTGTTGAAAAACTCTCTTGTTACATGCATTTTCAAAAATAGATATTTATAACACTAACCATTGTCACGAAAAGAGTTCTTCTTTTATTAATGCGCGAGTTATTCTAGTCACGAAAAACTTTTGATCTGTTAATAAAGATGTTTTGTTTAATGGAGAAATATTTATTTTCTACTTATAATTTCTATGAATTATTGAGCTTACTACTTAATTATAGCATAATTTGCTGTCCTACTTTTTCGACAGCGGTAAATCGTTTCAGCAGTTATTTGCATATTGCGCAATAATACTACGGGGCTACAGCGTTTTTATCAATCAATACGTTCACATTTTAACTTGGATAACTTAATTTGAAATTGAAAAGGGTAAATATGGAGGTTTTTAAGATGTCCCGACAAAGTATGGGAGTTTCATAGGATCAAATTCATGCACTATTTCTTTGGCTGTTATTCGGTTGAGGACACTTGCACGATTGTAGCCGACGAAATCCCATGTGTAGATGACATAGCTCTGAACGCGCCTGAGGGCACGTCCGTCGCAAAAAGTGTTTGAGCACGATACTAAATTTCGTATTCTGGTACATACCGGACAAGGCGCTTGAATGATTAAATGCTAAAATATCGCTTTATTCACCCCGAGAAAATGCTCTTCAAGACGCCTAATTTATCCGTTCACACCGATATATATATATGATAATGAATGAAACATGTAAGAATCGGCGAAAATAGCGATATGTTTCTATTTTGTGATCATGATTTTTGCAGGCGTCTAGAGATACTGCTTAAACATTGTAGTGAGTTAAAACAAATGTTAATAACACTAAATACATATTACTTTGTTTTACGGCTATAAACATTTCATTCTGCTAGAAAAATCACCTCTTTAGCATGAAAACTCAATTTTAAGGTAGAATTAGGGACCGTTTCTTATAATGTAAGTCTATGGAAATATCATTGTGAGTGTCTGACCATCACGATGTTTGATCGGATCTTTTCCATGAGGGGAGTTTTACGTCCGCCACAAAAGGGATCAGTTAGTATTAAGACAGCACACCACACTAATTGAAGCCACAGCTTCGAATGGCCAGGGAGGATTTCATGGATATAGTGACTATTGTGGATTTAAATGACTGGTTGTCTTTAAAGTGCATTTTCAGCATGAAATTTGTTTTTGTGACACGTAATATGATCATTGGCAAATCGAAAACATGGTTAGAAATCACTTGCTGTTTAATTATAGATGTCATGGCCGCCATTGTTTGTAAACATTGCTTTTAAACAGCATGCTTGGTGAAAACAAGTAATTTTACAGGGGGGTACAAACTTTCAGCAATAGCAAAACATCTTCAAGGCCAAGCACCTATTTCTTTGTGATATTTTGCATGTATAGGGAGTTGCTAGAGCATTGACAGAGTTTCTGTAGCCCGTACATTTGCAGATATTTTTTGCCGGAGGGACGAAATATGTTGTTTTGGGTCTCGGACCACTATAGATTTTACGGAATGAATTGGAAGTTTTTAACTGCCTGACTGTTGCACATGGAATGATTTCATTATAGATTTGCAATGTTATGACATATATGTTCTTAACAAAATGTGTTTTCTTTTTCCAGGTTGTGAAGTTTGGGATCAGATTTATCAGACATATTGCTTGTAGGACATTGACGGCAGAAACTTGAAATTTAGTGTGGAGTGCTACCTAAACAGCGACCTCTGTCGTAAGAAAACGCACTAAAAATTGGTTCCCCGCTTCGTTTTTTGAT